GGACCTGTTTGTATTTCATTCTACTTAACACTTTATGTGCAGACTGGTGGTGTTGGCTGTTGATTCATGAAGTTTGCTGCTTCTTGTAAGCTGTTTGAGGTAAGGAGTCGTATTTCATTTTTCCTCTGTGGCCTTTTGTGACCTGGAATATTGTTGAGAAGATAATCCTTGCTCTGAAAACTCTCTCGTTGATCAAAATTATTGTCTTGAGCTTATCCAGTTCTTGAGGATTCTTAAGGAAGATTTACATTTCAGCTGTCCCAGCAGGGGAGTTGGAGTGTACCCTGTACAAGGGAGCTCATTCTAAGATACCATCTTTGTCAGCTGATAGAGCAGTGCACGGGGACAGAGGCCAGGAATGACGGAGGGGCCCATACTCAGAGCGGCCACCGGGAGGACTGGGAGGTGTGTGCCTGCACCAACATCATGATGCCAATATGTGGTTTCCTCCAAAACAGGCTTTCAGACTTTACAGCTGGCCCTTTGAAGCTGATTTCTGGAAGCAATGCCCACTCTGACTTGGAGAAAGTAAGATCTGTCTAGGGGGATGGACCCCACTAGACAGCGACTTCTGAAGTTAAGGATGATAACGGAATTATAACTTATTATCATCGCTGTGGCTATGGTGGCTGCTCGTGGACGAAGGGAGAATTTTATGGCAGGGGAAGAGAAGTTACTAAGCAAAGGACAGAGAAATAATCCCCTCTCTTTCTGACCATTAGTTTAGAATTTTCCATGACCCTGGACTTCCAAAGGGAAATAAATGTAGGTCCTTTTCACCCATAGATAGAGGAACTAGGTCTTTGCAGCCCCCTCATTGCTGAGGGGGGTGAGTTGGGGGCCATGGTGGTCACATCCCTGGAACTGCCAGGTCCCTTTGTGGGTGTCGGGCTACACACTCCAGAGGATGGAGTTATTAAGGAGACTCTGAGACTGGTGTGGCTGCATTTTAAAGGTCCTTGAAAAAGGAGGCCTCGTTTGCGGGAGAAATGATGATTCTGCCATTTTTTTTTTACTGTGCACCTTTTCCATTGAAGTTCAAGTTAATATCCTTGTGGTCTTGTCCCTCTCTGCTTCTTACTTCTATAAACCTCTTCCTAGTTTATTTTCCATAAGTAGGAGAGAAGTGGAAATAATTTTCTGAAAAGGACTTGTCAACATAAAGCCCTGAGATTAGGTTGGTGCCATGAGGACTGGAGGAACTCTGGGGTCAGAGCTCCGCAGACGTGGGTTTTCTGGAAACTGACAATAAGGCAGCGTCATGATTTATCCTTTTTCCCTCAGAACAGGCAGATGCCAGTTGGTCCCCAGGTCTGAATTGTGCTCAGTTCCAACCATTAGACAACCAAAACCCAAGGTTTTAGTCTTTAGAAATTCAATTGTGTCGTTGGTTTATAAGAGCCTACTATTGTGCCAGGCACCCTATTTTAGAGGCTATAAAGATGAGCAGAAATTGTGCAGTCATGTGTTATTTAACTCTGGATGCAGAATTGTCTTCATTGGTTCAGGTGCCCGGAGAGGATGGAAACACCCTTGATCTTAGATGCAATGCAGGTGGGGCCCGCTGGGGAGTGTCTTTAGGGATTCCTTCTTCTATAGCTCATGTCCCGAGGGACTGACCTCTGTTTCCCCTAACCACAAAATCAGACTGATATTTTCATCTGATTCTCTCTCTGCTTCACAAGAGTTGGTAGAAGTCTGTATCTAAAGAACGGAGCCCTTTAATTCCCCAGAACTCTGACAGGCCCAGCTCCCCCAGATTATATGCTTCTCAGTCAACAGCAACAGGGCAACTTGAAACGTCATCCCATGTTCCAGGCCCAGCCCTGCAGTGGTCCACCTGTTCCTAGGTCCAGTTACCCCAGCTGTTCCCACCCCACCCCCTTACCCCTGCTGTGCTCGGTCACCAACTGCCAGCAGGTCAGGTGGAGGAATCTCCATCCAGAGCTTAACTCCCAGGCGCTCAGATCCCTCTGCTGGCTGACTGCAGAAGCACTGCTTAGCTTTTTCTTTTTGTTTGTTTCTAAATGAATTAAGATGTTCTGAGGACCATTTTCTTTCTCTCCCATCTTCCTTCATTCTGTCTTTCTGACTGACTCTGTAATCTTTAATAAATTTCTCTTGGGTCTTTAATTCCTACATTGAGCACCAGTCTCTGGCCCGTTCCTGGTCGGGAACCACTGGTCGGTGCTTGCTAAACAAATGACTCAATATGCTGTTACCGGAGCCACCTCGTAGGTCCATGGTGCAGAGGGTAGTAGATCCTCCAATCAGGAACCACCCCCACCTCTCGCGCCAGTGGTGGTCCTAATAGTGGCAGATGATTCTGCAGACATGAAACCAAGGACTTCGTTAAACACTTTACAGGCATTACGTTCTAGAGTCCTCTCATCAGCCGCATGAGGCAGCTTCTCTTTATCATTGGGTCTGTTTCTCAGATGACAAAGCCTAGGCTGGAGTTCCTCGGCTTGTCGATGGTGGGGCTCAGGGTTGGAGCTCATGTCTCCGGTGCCAGTGTTCTACTTGGAACCACACAGTGCGACCTCCTCCGGCGCTCCGGGCTTTCCAGGGCCTTATCTTGGCATGTGTTCTTTGGCCTTGCTGTCTGCCTAGAGATCTCTTTCCCCCTCATCTTCTTTCAGGAATTCTGACTTTTCCTTCAAGACTCAGTTCAGGAGTCACTTGGAGAGGCGTGCACACCCCTCCTTCCCTACCTTCTATTTTGGTTGTGTTTGCAGAGACCCTGCCTGTGAACCAGTGCTCGCCTCCCACGGAGCACTCATCCCACGTTTTTGTTATGATTTCCCCACGTGTCTGTCTCTGCCAGTCGACTCTGACCTCCTGGAAGGCAGGGAGCATATCTTGTCGGTGTTTGTGCCCCCGGCACAGGGCCCACCTCCTAGTAATAAAAATAACAGCAGAGCTTAACATTGACTGAGCCCCTATCTTGGGCCAGGCAGTGTGCTAAGCACTTTATATGTTAGATTCTCTCATTTAACCATCACAAACACCCATATGATAGGTGGAATTGTTACTCCCATTTTACAGGTGAAGGAACTGAAGCTTAGCGAGTTCTATAACTTCCCAAAGGTTACCCCATAAATGGCGCAAACCAGGCTTGACTCCAGATCGCCCTGAACTTTTTTCACATTTTTAAAATTTTCATGCCCTACATTTTAGACGTAATTAGGTATTTTTTCTCTTTCAATATTGATTAAGCAGGGTGGGTAGGAAGGTGAAATTTTCTTCACTAAGATTAGCAGTGCCCTGAGAAGCACTTGCTATCTCTCTCCCAGCAGAAGGGCTCTGAAGGAAGGCGGCCATTTAGATAAATCAGGTTTTGAACCTTTTTGAGGAAAAGAGTTTGCGAAGTATGAAGTAGAAAAGGTAACTGGAGATATGCGGAAAATCCATTCCTTTACCCAGTAACTTCACATGAAATTTTGCAGCTATTTTATAAAATAATCACTGTGCTCATCTGGCTCATCTGTCATCCACAAATTCCAAGTGTAAGTTAAACATTTGAGGCCTGAAATTCATTGATTACAGATTTAGGTACCTAGGAGAAACAAGTCCAAAACTACTTACTTTCTAGAGCATGATTTAAAAACAAAACCAAACAAACAGAAAGCCACAATCTTTGCAATTAGACTTTATGTTAAATTTAGGCCACATGTTAATTTTGTTTAACTCTTAAAATATATCCCAGAATATGCATTGGTCTTTACCAGTGTCAACTGAAAAAAAGAGTCTGGATAAAGGTTAAATGGAGTTTATTCAAATAATCAAGGTGAGGAACTCAAGTCCTGGGAAACAGTCCAACAGAGTTATTCTGAGGAAATGCTCTAAGGTCTACAGATCTGAATGCAGTTTATATACTTTTTTTTAACAAAGCAGTATATGTGCAGAAAAAGAGCTTACACATCTAATATTCATATACTTTAAAGATAACATAAACAAGAGCTTTTTGGTTATATATCAAACAAGACTTGTAATGTTGGTGTTATCTATGTGTGGAAGGAGGCAACAACCAGGGTCATTACTTTTTCCCTCAACCTCCAAGAAATGCAGCCAGGAAATGTGAGAGGGAGGTACCCTTTGTCTCTTCCTGTTGTGGATCTGTCCACTTGGCGTCTTCAGTCATGAGGTGAGGGGTTGCAGGGTCATTCTTACACAGGCTTAGGATGGCCTGCATGGCTGCTTCACAGGACAGCATGGATTTCTGTCCTGACTTTAAGCCTATGCAGCTTTCCTGCTAGATTCACCTGTTAGACCAGGGAGAGGGGCCCAAAAGTTCCTTCACACCAACCTAACTGATGACTCATTTGCCTGTCTTTACTTTGAGGTTCAAGTTACCATTGCTTATCTCAGATTTTCAAGTTACCAGTTAAACTAGTGGATAATTTAAGATGAGGTGCTCAAGAAATGTAGGCTACCATTAGTAATATCAATATTTATAATTTTTATATTTCAATATAATATTTCATACTATTAGAGCCTGTCTGATGATTACATTTTGATAACATCCAGAAAACTCCACAGGCTTTAAAGGTAACCTTACTTACCTTCTCGATATCATTAAAAGAGAGTGGCTAACATTCCCATTTTATAAGCTATGACCGCCTCACTCTGTAGTGGGTAGTGGAGACAAAATCAGAATGTTAGGGTAGTAAGGAATCTTGATCCAACTCTATCTTTCTGCAGATGAAAAACAAAATGAGGCTCAAAGAAGCTGTCTGCAGCTCCCTGCCTCCCCTAATGCACTGAAAGCCACTTTCCATTAAGAAAACCCTCAGGGCCGGCCTGGTGGTGCAGTGATTAAGTGTGTTCTGATTCCGCAGCCCAGGGTTTGAGGGTTCGGATCCCGGGCACAGACCTACACACTGCTCATCAAGCCATGCTATGGCGGCGTCCCATACACAAAATAGAGGAAGATGGGCACAGGTGTTAGCTCAGGGACAATCTTCCTCATGAGAAAAAAACAAAAAAAAACCCACAGCCCCTTCACTGTCTTAGCTCATCCCTCTCTCACTGCATTTTTGCCCATGTTACTTTCCTTCCTGTAGGTTGCATCCCCGTCTGGCCGTGCTGTTCAGCCATGACCACCGCCATCCTCGAGCGCCTGAGCACGCTGTCTGTAAGTGGGCAGCAGCTGCGCCGCCTGCCCAAGATCCTGGAGGATGGGCTTCCCAAGATGCCTTGCACCGTCCGGGAGACAGACGTGCCGCAGCTCTTCCGGGAGCCTTACATCCACACCGGCTACCGCCCCACGGGACACGAGTGGCGCTACTACTTCTTCAGCCTCTTTCAGAAGCACAACGAGGTGGTCAATGTCTGGACCCACTTGCTGGCGGCCCTGGCTGTCCTCTTGCGATTCTGGGCCTTTGCTGAGGCTGAGGCCTTGCCGTGGGCCTCTCCCCACGCCCTGCCCCTGCTCCTCTACATCCTGTCCTCCATCACTTACCTCACGTTTAGCCTCCTGGCCCACCTGCTGCAGTCCAAGTCAGAGCTCTCCCACTACACCTTCTACTTTGTGGACTACATTGGCGTGAGCGTGTACCAGTACGGCAGTGCCTTGGTGCACTTCTTCTACAGCTCTGATCAGGCCTGGTACGAGCGCTTCTGGCTTTTCTTCTTGCCAGCAGCCGCCTTCTGTGGCTGGTTATCTTGTGCTGGCTGTTGCTATGCCAAGTATCGTTACCGGAGGCCTTACCCAGTCATGAGGAAGATCTGTCAAGTGGTGCCTGCAGGGCTGGCCTTCATCCTAGACATCAGCCCTGTGGCACACCGAGTGGCCCTGTGCCACCTGGCTGGCTGTCAGGAGCAAGCTGCCTGGTACCACACCCTCCAGATCCTCTTCTTCCTGGTCAGCGCCTACTTCTTCTCCTGCCCGGTCCCTGAGAAGTACTTCCCGGGTTCCTGTGACATTGTGGGCCATGGGCATCAGATCTTCCACGCCTTTCTGTCTGTCTGCACACTCTCCCAGCTGGAGGCCATCCTCCTGGACTACCAGGGGCGGCAGGAGATCTTCCTGCAGCGCCACAGTCCCCTGTCCATCTACATGGCCTGCCTCTCTTTCTTCTTTCTGGCTGCCTGCAGCGCTGCCACCGCAGCCCTCCTGAGGCACAAAGTCAAGGCCAGACTGACCAAGAAAGATTCCTGAGGCTGGGAGGTGGGACAAGGTGTGGAGGTAGCCCATCGTGATTTGGGAAAACTCGATACGACTATAGGAGTTGACTTTTTGTTTTTAAGAGTTGGCTTTTAAATTAATACGTTTTTCCAAGGATATGCTGGAACTATGGCGTTGGAAAGCCAAAGGATTCAAGAGTTTTGTTGTTGTTATTGTTGTTAATGAAAGGAGTATTCCTTTTCCCTCTGGGTCCTAGCCTTATAAGGCACAGGAATGGAAAGGACCTGGCTAAGAGTCATGGAACACTGAAGTAAGGAGAACCATCTTCATGCCGGAAGATTTAGTAGGATTCTGAATTGGACTGAAAAGTAGGTAGATGGCTGGTTCACACCATATTGGAATGGCCATCTTACTATGCTGGTCTTTGGTAATTGAATAAATTGACCCAAGGACCATATTTCATTTGGATTTCATATTGTCCAGGGTGGAGAAGTCAGAATCTTCAAGATGATTCAGTGAAACCCTTAGACGTGATGAACTACTCTGTTCACCTGATTTCTGATCCCTCCTCTCTCACCCACTCTAACACTGACCCTTTTCTCAGGATGATGTCTGCCTGGCTGTTTCTCTAAAGTGCTGTTCACTCCCATCTGTACCTTGCCTGGTAATGTAGAGGACCATGGAGCAGTCATACTTCCAGGAAATGCTTGGACCCACATGGACATTCAGGAAGCTTATTCTCATGTAATACTGATGTAAACGGTACTAGAAAGTTCAATGCCAGGAGCCACCAGGAGGCCCAACCAACAAGCGTGGACCCTGTTTGGTGTCATGGGACCCTTCTGTTTTTATAGCTGTGGACTGTGGGATTGCTTGAGATCTCTTAGGGCTGCCTCACAGGCCAAGAGATTGGGGGCTGGCTCCAGGGAATCTTCTCCAGATTTTGACCAGCATGTTCAGAAAGCCCCTGGTAGAGTGAATTGGTTCTGAAAGTCCCTCTAGGGATCTGATTATTTCAAGAAGAACCCAAGGTCCAGCCTCTTAAATAGATGCTGCCCCACGCAGGACTCTTGTAACCACCCCAGTTCAGGGTCCTCAGGCAGGCTGTTGTGCCTCAACTTGGAGCAGAACCCTTAAAATACTCAACCCCCAGGACAGGCGAGCTTGTGTGCTCACTGCGGGTTGGTCCCTGAAGGCTCCTTTGGGTAAAATGGTGAACTGGGCACGCTGTAGGTGGAATAGTCTGCTTGGAACATCATTGTCCAGCAGCTTCTGTGGGATAGGAGGTACTTAACGATTGATGTCTTCCGGCCACGCAGCCTGCTCTGAGGAGTGACTTCCACACTATCCAGTGAAGGGGGCTGCATTGACAGAAGGACCGTGGAAGCCTTTTCAGAGGCCACGTTTCCTATCAGTATAAGGTCCCTATCGACCAAAATGGGAAGTGGTTTGTTTTCACTCCAGTTTGATGAACCTCTTCTCTTACCACGGTACTTTATTGTCTTCAAATATTTGTTTTCGCATTCTCTGAGAGATTTGTGTGTTTTGTGCCTTATAAATGGAAACATATAAACACTTTACTTAACATGTGGCCATGTGGGATTTTCAGTTTTGGGTTATTGGGATAAGGAAAAAAGCTTTCCAACCAGTGGATGAAAGAAATTTCAGAAAATCAGAATTGCTTGTCAACCGAAAGACTCTTTCAGCCTGTATTTTGGCCAAAAAAAAAAGATATTCAACTGGAGTTTTCCTATAATCTTTATATTGAGAAAGTGTATGTCTTGTCAGCTACGTAGTTTTCCTAGATGGATTTCTGCTGTTAATCCTCAAATACCTGAACTTCTGTGCTACCCAAGTGTCTTACACAAGCTTCTGGTGTCTAGGCCAAATTCACCACAAATAAAGTCAGCAAAACTGAACTGGGTCGAACTAAACAAGGGAATGGGGGAGTTGTGCAAACACATTGCAAGTTGAGGGTCAGTGTAAAACGGGGACTAGAAAGTCTTTGAAATGTTCATCATCGTGGATTGAAAGATCATATTCTTGGAAAACTTGGAAGGAAGATGTAAGTCAAGCTCTTGGATATAACCACAGTAGTCATGGTGGGCAGAGATCTTTAGGCCAAAGGCAGGTGTTTTTTAAGAGAGCAAACAGGAAGTAGGACAGTGATCCCCAAATGCAGTCCACAGACCAATGCCAACCTGCATGCTGTCAACGGTCTGTGACAAGACAAGTACTGACAGAGAGACCAAACTGTTAGATGTTGCCATAAAACTTTCATTTTAATTTAGACAAGTATTGGTCCCTCAAGTGACTGGAAATTTTTTTAAAAGTTTTTTCACCAGAGGTATTTGAGAGACATTGAGGTAGGAGACTGTCTCACTAGAAACACCCGTATCTCATTAGAGATATGTGAACAGGAGATGCAGAGATTTTTAACTACTCAGACTTTTGAGAGCTCACATACTCCTTTTAAAACATTTTCATTAAAATGAGTGTATCAGTAACGAACAGACCTAGTTTGTTTAAAAGGAATAATGAAGTCTTTGATAAAGGAGATGATTATCTTACTCCACCACAGCCCCTCCAACAGTTGACATCTACTGGAAATTCTGCTGGTTCTCTCTCTTTCTTTTTATTTTTTATTTATTTATTTTTAGTGAGGAGGATTAGCCCTGAGCTAACATCTGTGCCAATCTTCCTCTATTTTGTATGTGGGACACCACCACAGCATGGCTTGATGAGTGGTGTATAGGTCCACGCTGGGGATCCGAACCGCTGAACCCTGGGGCGCTAAAGCAGAGTGCACGAATTTAACCACTACGCCACTGGGCTGGCCCCACGCTCTCTTTTTTTTAAAAGAAGACTTTCAATCTGTTGAAATGTAAATGCCTCTGTAAAAAACTAAACTATCAGTCATTTACTTCTTGAGAATACAGATTCTGATGGATTTGTATGAGGCCCTGTTCCGGGTAGGGAGAGGGGACAGCAGGACACAGCAGACTGGGGACACATTTGCCTGTTTCCCCTCTTGCCTAGTACTTCCTGCCCTGTACTTACTAACAAGCCGATGTTAATACTCTTCAGATGTTAGAGTGTCATTTCCCACCTCCGCTGAAAGTACCTCAGTCAGTAACAATAATCTCAATCCTCTACTGGAAGCTTGAAATCGTAGGAGCTCACGCCACGGAATGAAGGTAGTTCATTCCCGCCACTGTTGTCCACTTGTTCACAAATTGTACCTTAATGCTTCAAAACATCAGGTTCTTCTGTTGCTGCACTGTAGTTTCACGTGGGCCCTCCAGAGGGCGCTCATGTCTTCCTCAGAGTGGGCGCAGCCATTGTCCACAAGGCCTCAGCCTACCGATTGTGTTGGTCCCAGTGTTTTGCTTGATGGCTTGGCAAAGAAAAAATGGAACTATTTTCTGTGTATATAAATCTACTTACATGAAAGACTATTAAACAGATTTTGTATACGCATTCTTGTACTGTCAACAGCTACCTTGTTTCTTTGACAAGGCCCTTGACAAGTGCTACTTGGACAAGGCTCATCTTAAAGAAAGGTTTTATCTAGATAGACGTTGCCAGGAGGAGGAGGAGGTCAGAACACTTGATATATCCACCTAGAAGTAGGAAAGTATAAAAGCTTAAAAAATCTCCATACCCAAACCCCCAAAATACACCCCCCCCAAATTCCCACTTGTGCGTAGATCAAATTGCCCCCCCCCCAAAAGCTGGAGTTGATTTCTCTGAGGATTTCAATCTAGTTGAATAAATACTCCTAGTGTCATAGACCAAAGGATTTGGTGCCAATCAACTAAAGAATTTTGTAGCCTTAACTGTTAGATTTAAATAGCTGTGAAAAAGGTGATTCTCTGGGCTACTCCAGCATCAGGCTATCATATTATCACAATAATGTAAGAAAACAGCATTTCTCTGGCTTGAGGCTCCACTGGTAGGATTGTGGATGTCCCTCTTGCCCATACCCTTTTTTTAATGGGCAGCACTGGCCCTAGGCAGTTGGCACATGCTTCTGTTGTCAGTGTTAATAGTTTAACCACTCTTCAGTTATTGATTCAGCAAATATTGATGAGCACCAAGTATTTATGGCCGGCACCATGTTGGCATCTGGAGATGCCACAGTGAAGGAAAAAAACAGGGACCTGACGTGGAGAGTCTGCAGTCTGCCAAACGAGGACAACATCTTCCCACTTTGGGCCAGGACAGGTGCCCCTCTCCAGGTCTTGGTCCCAATCACAGCCTGAGGGCCAGATGGCCTGCCAAACCCACGGGAGGCTGGGACCTGCTTCGGGCTAGAACATTTTCAAAGGATTGAGCGTTCTCCCTCTTCCCCCCAGGCTAGAAACATCTCCCCCACCAGCAAGGCTGTCACCTTAGGGCCGGCTCCTTGACCCTTCTGGTTACTGCTGCTGCTTCTCCAGCCATCTTCAATGTCCTCTAGTGTTTTAATTCAGTCTTGGCTATCCTTGACACATCCAGACACAGCAGCCCTGTATTGCCACAGGCAGTATAGACTGCCCAGGTACATAAAGTCCCATCCTTCTGGGAAGGGGATGTAGGGTTCCAACCTGAGTACAGGTTCCTGATTTGGTAAATTGGAAATGGCATGCCACACACTGGCTGCCTCCTTTTCAAAAAAATAACCATCTTATCCTTTAAGGAATTTTTATGGAAATAATTTAATGTGGAAGGAAAATCATTGCATTAGAAAGAGAATTTAAATATTAACTTCGGGATCCTATCTATCTAAGGTAAGGGCTTTTCTTCCCTGACATAACTCTCATAGGAAGAGGTAGGCGCTGTATTGGAGACTCCAGGAGGCCGTGACCAACTCAAAGGCCACAGGATAACACCTTAGATCTTATCGTGCATTGTGCTTTCCAAACATTTCCACATCCATTTGAGCTTCTAAATAATCGTGTGAGGCAGGGCCAAAAAGGTCTCCATTAAACTAGAAAAAACACTAAGAAAGTAGAATGACTGAGTCACACAATTAGTTGTAATGTTTAAACTCAAATTCATTTTTCCTTCAGATAAATTCAGGGCTCAGCTAATCAACAAATATTTGCAGAGCTCTTCACAGCGTGGGAAGCCCTTTTCCACATTGTGTATACTTTAACCTAATCTCATTTAAACTTTTGATCCTAAATACCTCATGAATAGCCAGGGTTGTGTCTTCTCTTTTCTGGTTAAAGTGACCTTGCCATGTCCTTGGATGTCCAGTAAAGCATTCTTTGCACCTCATAGTCTTCTCAGAAGCCCGAAAGTTCCATTGGCTACAGGCCCTTTGTGGCCTGGATTATAAAGTCAAATGTCACTCTCCAGTCATGGCTTCTTGAAAATACCTTTGAGTCCTTGGATGAGAAACTCATCTAGGATTGATAATCTTGCCAAGGTCATGTAAGCCCTCACTCTCATCTTTCAGTGGGATTGTCTGTTCTTCAAATAATTGGCTTTCCCAGTGATTTTGACGTCATATGACTTTGAACATGGGATTTAAAAAAAAATGGTTCTCTGCCTTATGAAAGACTTATGCAGACTTAGTAGCAAGTCCAAAAAATGTCACTGATTATTTCTCATTTTGAAGTAACATATGCTTATTAAAGAAAAGGCAGAAAAATAGGGGAAAAGATAATCCATGGACCCATCACTAAAATAAATGCCTTCGGGGGAAAAATAAGGCTATGTCAAAATGTTGTCAATGATAGGTAAATTAGCAGTGTCATATAAAGCTTCCTGAAAACCAGAAAGTGGGAACTAGGAATTTTAAGCAACCTGATACTTTCATTCTATAAAGTACCAAATCAACACTCTTCGGCTCAGTTTGCAGGAATACCAAGATAGTTACACTACACTCTCTTCTGACATTACATTATGTGGGTAATTTGATGATGCTGTGGCTGAGATACTGGCTCATGAAACAAAGCCAGTGATACATTATCTGGTGCTGAAAGAATTCTT